CGCTTGACAAAAAATCGCGTAAAATCGACGATAAAGGAACATCGAAAAAGAAAAGGTTCATGAGCGCAATTTACTATGATATGAAATTTGCTACCAACGTCAGAGCGTGAAATTTACACTTTTAAAAGAGACGATATGGGTACTCTAGGGCTTTTTGCAAACATAGCGAAGTTGCTGATTTTAAGAGAGAAAGCACACAGCAGCTAAAGAAGCCTTTATGCAACAAAAATCCGATATTCAAATAAAACTGTGAGAAAAATCTACACCAGCAAGCCTTTAAGTCTTTTGCAAGGAAAGTACGACTCGGTCCCTCAATTTGCTGATGTGCCGTGAGCCTTTAAGAATCACTTGCTCTAACATAAAATGTTTTTGACTTTCAACCAGCCGTACGCTAAAATCGCCAGACAATATAGCGTGTCACTTAACACTATAGAATTCCACAGCCAATGGTAAACCTGATAGAAGATTATGAACGACGTCAGAACTGAAGGATCGTTGTTGGAGTGGCTCAACATCATCAATAAATCGCCAGTCAGCGGTTTGTCATATGTTATTCAACATCACAGTGGACTACATGATGAGGAAGGGCGTTGTCTCAAAGAATAATACAGAACTGCCAGCCAGTCAGTGAGCCGCCTAGAGGTTTCCAGCAGTATTTCAAAAGCAAATTGAGTACGCGGATGACACCAAGCCACTGAGCCATTCTGCAAGTGACCTGTGGACATTCACTGAACGCGTTTTCAACATGACCATGGTAGAGGGGCAACAAGTTAACACCAAGAAGATGAAGATTCAGAAAGCGTCCATCCATCATGGCCGATAGCTCTAGGATATTATTGGATAGTATCATAACAGAAGTTGACTATTTCAAGTATCTCGATATTGCGAACCCGCACACAGCTGTGGTATCAGAGAATTCAGGCAAGCTGCATAAAATATAAAAAGATCGAACTGTAACAACGACTATAAATAACACTACCCTAAACAGCAGCATTCGCGGTTTCACGTGCAGCCTGGAAACATCTATGGCCTAAAAACATCATGAATCTACTCTCGACAGCTTCCAACAACGCTGTTTACGAAGTATCTTCAAACAATGATGGTGCCCCCCGGTCAGGAGCGAACAGATGCTGACCACAAACGTGTGACAAAACTGTCAGTTGAACTCAGCGACGGGTTCTTGACCTCATCTGATAAAACGACCCAAAATACAACAGAAATCTATTCAAAACCATTCTCGCTTGGGAACCTTGCACTGGTCACAGAGGTATTGGAAGATAATGTAAGATATGAAAACATCTCGTTACGGAAGACCCGTTTGCGAAAAGGATTAAACATTTGCCACAAACGAGAATATCAGCCAGTTCCTAAGGATTATACATTATAAATCTGGGCTACTCTAATGTTCCAACTTTATTAGCGTTGGATAACAATGACAAAATTATAAATGTTAACAATTACGAATCGTCAAATATCTTGGTAGCAACGTATGAATATGGAAGATTGTTAGTACGAAGTTTAACTCAATAGAATATTATATCATTTTTATCAATACGTGAGTCATAAGCATCGCATCATACCAATAATCAATTTACAGACGTCCTCTGCCAACTACACCCTCAAAAAATGACAGAAATCTCAAGGGTACCCTAATTACTACGATAAGTCGACACCATTCATTGGCGAACCATTTCAAATCAACCGTCATGAGTGAAATATGATAATCATGCCGTCGGACTTTCAATCACAGATTCTCTTCTTCACAGCTGGCGTTGAAACTTTTTCTAATTGCATTCACAAGATGTGACTCTACCATTACAGCAAAAATTTTCGCTTTACAAATAAAACCGTTGTTTACCTGTCAGCTGTGCTTTCGAGCGACCCTTCTGCTGGCTCTATCAAAATTCACATTGTCTTTGCTCACATTTCAGAAATTGACGCAATAATCGACAAAAAAAATTAAATAGAAACTATGTTTTACGTTCCATGTACCGAAATCGGTAAAACAAATCATGCAATTAAAAATTTGAAAAGACAGAGAGAAACTGTTAAAGAAGCAGAAAAACTTACGATTTATAGATGATTCATTTTTCAATCATATGACGTCGAAAAACAGAAAATATAACGATAATGATTACAATACGGCACAGCAGAACGCTGAACCAGGTTCAAAGATCTTCCTTTTTAGAAAGCTGGTTTGCACTGATAATTCTACGAAGTGGACTGTCTCCGTGAACGGCACCGGCAGTTTTCTGACGGCCTATATACCGGACTGATAAATTGATGTTGACAATGACAGTGATGATTTCAAACCTATTATTTTTAAAAATTAAAACATGATTCATCAATAATATAGAAACGTCTAAAATCTAAAAATTTTTATGTCGGACCGAAACACCGTCAATAAAGGCGAAAGCCCCACTCGGTCTTCAGAACAAGTAAGGAATTGGTTCTAAATCGATATTTTTGGCGCCTGCGCTGTCGTAAGAAACCGCTTCACAAATCATCCATGCATCAATCACTGCTTCAAAGTATGCATAATTAATCACAACAGTAATTCGATACAACGTCATACGACTTGTTTTGAACGGTCTTTCAGAAACATTGCCTTGAGCAAGTTAATAAACAGTGTGCACACTTGAAGCGTTTAGCCATTCAAGATTTACCTGCATGCATTTACAGAACTCATGAAAGGTAAATTCAAAAGTTTGCTGGAACATGTCAAAAAGTGAGGATAAAAAAGCATTAAATCATGCTCTCCCTACTCCAATTCTGGTATCCCGAAGCAGAAAGTACCTCCTTGAACTTGAAAGATTGTCCGGAATCTTGAAATGTAAGCAAATTAAGCAATGGAATAGACAGACCTCGTTATGTTTTTGAAGAAGTTTCACAGGGCAAAAGGATATCTGACTAAAAACAAGAAAGAGACTGGCGATCATCGTCAAAACTCTTAGAAGAAAAACATTTTGTTTCATCATGGTATTAATTTTCTAAAAAGAAGGTGGCGATTCAAGGGCATAGGAACAAAAAGCGTCGATAAAGCCGGATGGATAACATCAGGAAATGGTTATAAAATAAAATCCTTCGCGCTATTCAGGTTATGAAAATCTAACAAATCCGAAGGAACAACGCCCTCTAAACTTACGCATCTGCTTCACAGCCCCTTAAAACGGAAGATGACATTCGTCATTGACCATCATTACAATACATAACTCACGATGAACCTGCCAGTAGCTTTCGATCTTATACAGTCGCCCAACCGATCACCGAGGTGTCCAACGATATGAGGCTTACCATCCCCTATTCCAGCCACAAGGAAGGCACTACTGCGGATCCCGTTCACTTTCAGTACAGACATAGCCACTAATTCATCTAATAAATTCAATTATAGACGTTATATCATTCTAGAAACGCAAGTACTATCCCTGATGGTATCAGAGAGGGGAAGTCAAGCATCTTATCAAGATAACAGTAAAGCATTAGAGCGCATTTCAAAACCAGGCGTTTGAAACCCAGCGTTACGAAACCACTCGCCATCGTCTTCGACTTTAATATTCGTGAAGAAGACTCATCATTGTTTAATATAAATCTCGAATTTATACGTAGTATATCCGATGAAACTAAGCTACGATACCTAGAGGTCACCTCATACTGTCACAAAAGCTGCCGATGACGCCTAGAGCATAGGAAAAACAAAGGGATCCTAAGCTGCCTGCTGTGATATACACACGTTTCAGACTTCCGAACAAAGCCTAATTTTATTAACAGTGAAACGCAGTGCACTACTGCCCTGTAACAATTACTTAACTCATTTCGACGACAGTGCAATTAATGCTGCTCCACTTATCAACGACGGTATCGCCATGTAAAAATGATGCCCTGGATGACAGTATCCTGGCAATATCGCACTGGTGCTGTCCATGAATGGAAAAATATCTTGCCAAATTCAAACCTATCTCTCATCAAGAAAATTGATCTGGTGCTAAGAGAGTAACTGAAATCAATAAAGCAATTCCAGATATATGGTTTTCTCCACTGGCCGATGAGTAGCGCAAAAATTCCCGCTGAAACGCAAGAGAGCTTAAGAACATCGTTCAACAAAATATCCAGTTGAAGATTAAATGAGAGATATTCTTACGCTTGTAGCTGAATTGAAGCATCGTATTACACTGAAACATGTATGCACAAAGTCTATCAAATACGAGTACTTTCTTACCAAATGAAAAATTAGTAATCACTAAGCTGTGAATATGCCGAGGTGCCAGCGACGGAATAAAACAGGGGTCATTGTCGCAACCGCGCCCACCGCGGGGAAATAAATGCCATTCAACTATAATTACATGTGTAACTGGAATGGCCACTGGAGCTATAGCCGTATACCTAAGTGCTTATACCATAATTATGCAGAGGGAGTTCATACCAAAAACACTGCACCCAGTTCTTGCCCTGTTCAAGAATTTCAAACTGAGAATGAATTG